CATAAAGCTCGAAGTTCTCGATGTTCGAGGCAATTACCAAACAGTTAGAGCCCTTCTGGATAGTGGTAGCTAAATTAATTTAATCAGCGATTCTTGTATAAATCGCCTAGGCATTCGAAGGAATAAAAATGCAATCTCGTCATCTACAAATGGCGTAGCTACTTGCACCATTCGACCTTTAGGTCAAACCCAACCTACGTTTCATATTCAAGTTTTCATCCTGCCAAAACTTTGTGCAAATATGCCTTCAATGTAAATTGATTTTTCAACTTGGAGTCACATTTCCAATTTAAAGCTTGCTGATGACCAGTTCAACATTCCTGCTCCCATAGACATGCTATTAGGAGCACAAATATTCACCGAAATTCTTCGGACAGGGAGGATTCAAGGACCACCAGGTCAACCTTCTGCCTTTAAAACCATCTTTGGATGGGTATTCTTGGGACAAACCCAAAATATAGATATTCAACCCCATGTCGGCTCATATTTCATCTCATGTGAACAATCTCTCGATTCAAGTATCCGAAAATTCTGGGAACTAGAGGCAATCAAACCCAAAACTTTTCTATCGCCCGAAGAAAAAAGGTGTGAAGAAATTTACCAAAAGACAACCACCAGGGATACATCTGGTCGTTTTACAGTCAATTTACCATTTCGTCACATCGACCCTCCTAACCTTGGAGATACCTATTCAATAGCCTATCGTTTATTCATGTCGCTGGAATCTCGACTCTTAAAAAATCCAAGTCTTTGTAGCTTGTATGCTCATTTTATGAGCGAATACCTCAAAAACGGTCATATGTCTTTAATCCCAAAAACCGAATCTAGGCCAAATCTATGCTGCTATTTACCGCATCATGGAGTGCTTCGTCTGGATAAATCAACCACAAAACTCCGGGTGGTTTTTAACCCCTCCGTTAAAGGATCAAATGGCACAAGCCTAAACGAAACCCTTTTAACGGGACCTAAATTGCAAAATGATATTTGCGAAATTCTACTCAAATTCAGATTCTATTCTGTCGTGCTTCTAGCTGATATCAAGCAACATTTTTTGCAAATCCAACTAAACCCAATTCATAGAGATTACCAAAGACTACTTTGGCGCTTTCATCCCAGCGAACCCTTACAATACCGGTTGAATACTGTTACGTTTGGTATAAGTTCAAGCCCTTATTTGGCAATTAGAACCCTCAGAGAACTCGCCACTCGTGAAAGTCAAACATTTCCTGAAGCTTCCCAAGTATTGCTTAACAACATTTTCATGGACGATATTTGCTGCGGATCTAGCTCCCTAGAGGACGCTTTATCGCCTCAGAGAGATCTAATCACCTTGCTCAAATTAAGAAAATTTGAACTCCGTAAATAGGCATCAAACAACCCTAAACTCATCCCTCATTTGTCCCCATCGGATTGCCAAATCCCAATAACTTTCGAGAATGATAACTCCGCCTCTATTAAGGTTCTGGGCTTTCAATGGCACCCTTCAACCGACACATTCACCTACTCATGCACCCCATCCGAAAAAACTTGCACTAAAAGAAGCATTCTATCCGCTATTGCAAAAATTTGGGATCCTCTCGGCTTCTTATCTCCGGTCTCATTTTTTGCGAAAGTTATAATGCAAAAGCTTTGGTTATGCAATATTAACTGGGATGAAACACCCCCTGAATCGATCACTACCCTTTGGAAGCAATTTAGTAATCAATTAAATAATCTTTCGAGTATCTGTCTACCTAGACACATTTTTCCGAATAAAATTCAACGTTGTCAATTGTTAGGTTTCTGTGACGCATCAGAACTAGGATATGCCTGTTGCGTGTACATTCGTGTTGAGCTACCTAACAATATTATCAAATCATCACTAGTCGCTGGGAAATCACGAGTTGCTCCCCTTCATACAAAATCCATTCCTCGTTTGGAGCTTCTTGGAGCCACCCTGCTAGCTGATTTGCTCGAATTAGTTATCCGAAATTATTCTTCGCTGATCCTAATCGATGAAATTCTTGCATTTTCGGACTCACGTGTTGCGCTGCATTGGGTTACCTCATCTCCTCACAAGTGGAAAACTTTTGTAGCGAACCGCGTCAGTCACATTCAAGAAACCATTCAAGTTCCTTGGTACCATATTCCTTCACTCGAAAACCCGGCCGATTGTGCCAGCAGAGGTCTAACCCCAAACAGTCTAATAAATCATCCTCTATGGTTCCATGGTCCGCCTTGGGTAATCCTGCCAACTTCCGAGTGGAAAATAAAGAAATTCGTAGAGGAATTTTTCGAGGAAACACCTGATGAAGTCATAAAAGAGGAAAAGCCACTTAACAATACCGTATTAATGGTAGAATCGCATACTCCAAACTTTTTCGACAATCTAATAAGTAAGTTTTCTAACCTAACCCTAATTCAAAAAATTATTTGCCATTTTCTAAGACTTATTCATAAGCGAAAAAACCTGAAAAATCCAATCTTGGGACCCTTTGCAGCTTTCGAATTACACAAAGCCTTGCTTGTTTTAGTCAAAAAGGTCCAAGAAGAGTGTTTTCCAGACATAATTTCGAAAATACAAAATAATGAATTATTACCTAAGCCGTACCGCAAGCTCGCACCGTTTTTAGATGAGTCGGGTTTAGTCAGAGTCGGCGGTAGATTAAGGCATTCTCAGCTCTCTTTTGAGGCAAAACATCTCTTAGTATTACCCAAAATTCATCATTTTACCAATTTAATCATAACTCAAACTCATATCGAAAATCTGCACTGGGCTTAATACAGTGCAGTATCTTATTCGCCAAAAATTTTGGATCATATCTGCGCGTAAAGCAATTCAAAAGGTCTTATCCCAATGCATTCGATGCGCTCGTTTAAAACCTAAATCATACACACCATATATGGCAGATCTACCCGATTTCAGAACTTCCCAGCTGAAGTGTTCCTCCCACGTTTGTCTGGGCCGGTATTCTCGTTCTCGAAAACGCTCACCGCTTTTCAGTCGCTAGGCACTTTCAATGTAAATTTGCATTTAAAGTGCCGAGCGACTAGAAAGCGGTGAGCGTTTCTGAGAACCAGAATACCGGCCCTGGACTATGCTGGTCCAATAAAATCCTTTGTAGGTCAAAGACGTCGTGGAGCGCAAGTCACGAAATCGTATATTGCGGTGTTTGTCGACACTTGTGTCAAAGCTATCTACATCGAGTTAGTTTCAAGCTTGACTACGGAAGCTTGCATTGCAGCGTTACGACGCTTTGTAGCTAGACGTGGCACTTGCGTTCAAATCGTGAGTGATCAAGGAACCAATTTTGTCGGAGCTATTAAAGAACTCCAAAATCTGTCAAGATTAGCTGCTGAAAGTCTGAACATAAAGTGGTACCTGAATAGTCCTGGAGCTCCCCACCTAAATGGCTTAGCCGAAGCGGGAGTCAAATCTGTCAAAACTCATTTATATCGCGTAATTGGCAACCAAATCTTAACTTTCGAAGAACTCTATACCCTTCTCTCACAAATAGAGGCTCTTCTCAACTCGAGACCTCTCTGGGAATAGAGTTCAGACCCAAATGACCTGTCACCACTGACACCTGGTCATTTTCTGACCACAGAACCATTAAATTCTTGTCCAGATCCGGACCTTTCTTCCCTAAAACTAAACACTTTAAATCGTTGGCAACTTATTCAACGCCTCCATTCAGTCCATCCGATCCTTCCGTCGAAATTAAGCTTGGCGCTTTGGTGTTAATCAAGGATGAATCCAGACCACCATTGCACTGGTCACTGGGAAGAATAGTAACCGTGCATCCTGGTCCGGATGGTCACGTTAGAATTGCTACAGTAAAAACACAGCACGGGCTCCTTACTCGTCCAGTGGTAAAGTTGTGCCCTTTGTTATTAGATTCGCGTTAAACTCAGATAAGCAATCTCTTTGTGTTGTGATTTGTTTTTGTAGTTTTATTCTATTTTATTCTATTTTATTATTAGTATTATATATATTTCTTTCTCTCATTTATTCAACGTAAAACTCCGTTTTAAGTGGGCGGTTAATGTTCATGCAACTTTGTTATTTTATATATTCATACAAAAATTACAAAAGAAAAAACCGTTAACTGCCATACAAGTTCAAATCAAAATTGGCACCGCTCGCGCAGACTCGGCGTATGTGAAAATTATGTGATTTAAGAGAAGGAAGCGGGAGGCAGTACGAAGCCGTGTCTCTAAAACCACGTCCGCTTTTTCGGTCGTTATCAAAAATCAAAAAACCTATCGAATTCAAGGCAAAAATTCCTTATTATTATTTCTAAGACTGTGTTGTATTGGTGTGTCGCTGAGAAGCAGACTTTCTGGACACGCGGAGCTCCTCTGGATTGACGAAAACCAGCATAAACCAAGTAAGTGCTAATCCTCCATTGTCTTTGTATGGCTCGGGTTTATGTCCATTAATATTTGTGCGGCAAAATTGAATTTGGCGCCTACAGTCCCGCTGCTCTATAAACTTTCGAAAAACCTAACGCAAATTTTCGTGAACATACCTTATTCCATTTAAAAAAAAACATAAAATTTGTGATTACTCTTTTTCGAGACTCTCTGTATACTTGAAAATAATTATGGGTGATAGCAGAAATGAAATGCTGAAACTTTTATACAGAACATTTTTCCATAAAGTCAACGGTTTGGCTACTATTGACCGAGGCGCGCTTGTTGGCCTACCCTGTATATATACTGTATAGTTCTGCTGATAGGCTTCATGTTCCTTATAGATTAGGTTTAAGTTTAATAAACATAGCAATTCTGTTTACAAGCTTCAATTGGTATACTCTATAAGCTTGTCTTAGAGCTATAATGGAAATAAAAATATCAGATAACGTGGTTATCATATGTCTGTTTTAAATCAGCTAACATCAAACTTATAATTCCTGCTTCAAACCAACAAGAACCAGCAGCTTGGGTTTGGTTATCACTTGATTGTGAAGTTTCAAATAAACAACGATCACCTTTGAGGATGTAATTTCGATGTTTAGGTTGCCTGGCTCCGTGTGGATACCCAAACTCTTCTCACCATACACAATCACGTGATAACAAAAAATCATCGAATAGCAGTGACTCACGCGGAGCATCGTAACTGGTACCTTCACATACGTGATGTCAGGAGGTCGGATGAAGGGTGGTATATGTGTCAAATTAACACTGATCCAATGAAAAGCCAAGTAGGATATTTAAACGTAGTAGGTAAGAATGCTTCTAGATAAATTCAATATTTAGCTATATACATAGTACAACATTTTGCCAATCAATGTATCAAAAAATCAAATTATTTTTTAGTTCCGCCTGATATCTTAGATTACCCTACAAGTTCTGACATGGTCATACGAGAAGGGTCAAATGTAAGTTTACAGTGCACCGCCACTGGATCTCCCGAGCCTTCTATAACATGGAGACGAGAGAATGGTGAGCTAATATCGTCGACCGGTAATGCCGAAGGTACGAATTTTTCCATTTTTAATGACATAATATATAAGACCGAAAAATAATTTTCCATGTTCGATTGATAAATTTAAATTATGTGGAAACATGAAAGTCAGGATTTATGTTTTAAATCAGCTACAGTTCAAGATTACAAAAAAAAAAATCAATGGTTTTATTATGATATACCATAGTTATTAATTAACCCAATTTATTATCTCATTAACAAATACCTACCTATATGATGAGAAACCAGAACTTAGAGAAAGTAATCTCTCAATACTAATGGAAATTTTTCATTAACTGTAGTAGGTTAAGTAACTATAGCAAACAGTGCCAGTGCGAGTCTGACAAAATGGAAGATTTTTCTCGTGATGTAGGTAATCATCTCTATTCGAAAAAAAGTTTTTCACGAGCAGATATTCGGAGCGCGGCCGGATTATGCCATTTGGTAAATGCTGCCTTTTTGATAGGGTGGTAAATAGACAATTATCAGAATTGACGTTTGAACTTGTTCGTCATATTTTCTTTTTGTTTGCTTTTATGATGCAATTAAATTTATTGAGGTTTTCAATAAATTACCTACAACCACTACTATAAATGTTAAAACTCAGAGCGCCTCCAATCTATGTAAGTGGAATTTTAACCTCGAAACATACGTAATGGTAAATTAAAACGGTCGAAGATTAAAACGCACAACATGACACAGACCAATCAAAAGCTGTAGTCAGTCTGCAGTTTTCTTGAGCGGTTGCCTTGAAAATTTAGTAGAAACCCCTGCGTTTCAGCACCTTATTGTTTATAATAATTGTAATAATTAATGAAAGGAAAAGGGTCGGTGAATTTGTCAATCAATAGTTTAATTGCACTGCAAGTGCAAACATTGAGCAGAGAGTTAACAACAGTAGTGACTATCAGAAATTCGGTGAGTAGAAGTCAGAAAGTTGTAGAATCTTGAGTAAGTAAGTAAAGGTGTTGTTAAAACCAATTACACGCGAATAGCAAAGTTAACTATTTCCATGTTCCATATCATTCGACATTCAATTTAGGAAATATACTTATGAACTTTGCTTTTGCTTGTTCTGGGAAGTCGCAAAGTTCGTCATGATTCTGTTCAAATCATCGGGCAGGCGGTCAACCTCTACTTTGCTTGTTGGTTCGTAATCTCCTTTTGAACATCGTCACTTTTGTCTTTATTCGGATTCACCAATTCACCCTCATTTCTCATCCTTAGTTATTTCACTTTTTTTTTTTTAGAATGATGGCCCGTGTGTCGTAAGTCAGTAAGATACATTGATTCCTCTCTTGAAAACGTCTTTCGGTTTGCTGCTAAGGTGGTTCTACTGGACACTACCTGTATTTATTTTAAATTGGTTGGTTGGTTACCATATTAGTCATAATTTTTGTTTTAATGATAGGTATTCATGTGTATCCCAACTCTCTCTGTGGCCTCCTGAAGCTTTCGAACCATCATGCACATCAGGTGAGATGAGAGACACCGCAACATCTTCCATGACACCCTCAGGCCAAATAGTAGCCTTCAAGATTCACATTTACATCTTGTCAGATAGCCAAGGGACTCTAAAGGCTCTAGAAGCTATTAACCCACAAGGTAACCCTTATGTGGATACGAGGACATCAAGGTATAGTTGCTAGCCAATGGCTAACTTATTGAAGATATACACAGATACAGATCACAACAGTCGTTGGCATGGCTTGGTAATATAACCTGATGCGAGGCGAATCAGAGAATGACTCCGCCAGATTTTGCGAACAAGCAACAGAAACAGCAGTACATCTGCTGTATGAAGGTGTTGCTCGGTTTTGCAAGAGCCTGAAATACTTTGAATTTCCACGGCTATAGCCCCAAAAACTGAGCACCATACAACCCAAGAAGCTACCTTTTTTTGGGAGAAACCTACAAATCTTGGACACCAACCAACTAGTAGCGGGGTCATGCAGGAAATATCTTGAAAAGAGAAGGTGATCCTACTAAGACATACACACCAATAGCGTCTAACCCCGTTGGGCAGCTGGAAACGAAAACTCACCAAAACACAATGAGATGCGAGATGTTTTGAGAGTCAGTACAGAGCGGCCCAAATTCGAGCCTCATCATTGGGATCCCGGAAGCCGTAGGAGATACGAGGTCGGTTAAATCACGGCAAAGTTGGGCATTTTGATGTTTAACAAAATGCCGTTCTCAAATTTGAGAAATTCCGAATACTCTCGGAGACATCCGGAAAATTCCGATTCTGGTTCTTATTTTTCTCGGCTTTATTTCAAGAGATATAGGAAAATCAAGATAACTTTTTTGTAGTACATTTGGTTGGACTTTAATGTGGTAATATTATTTCAGAAATTTGGCGTTTTGGTTATCGTAGGCCATTATCAAACTTTTTTTCCCTAATTTGGACTTCGATTTTTTTTACATAACTTGTTTGGTTTTGAGTTTTGACATTCTAAAACACGTCATATGTAACACATTTTGAAATTCCAACGTTTCGACCCAAAATATTCAAAATTATTACTATTACGATTCCGAGTTTTAATTAAACGACGTGATGTAACCTAATTTCTTCTATCAAGTGAAGAAATCCCAACATATACCAAACAAGCGATCACAAATCAACAATTTAACATTTAATGGGAAAGAAACGATTAGGTATTTGAGGGAGGTATTCAAAAAGCCTTCCCTCTAGCGAAATAGTCGGACTAAGCTGGTCACGTGACATTTACTCGACCCGACTTATCTTGATTTTTTGTTTCAATATTCTCCACCAGAGGCGCCAACTATGAATTCAAAAAATAAAAATAGTTTAAACTATACCGCGTTCATATAAGTCAAAATTCAAGGCCCAGGAGACTTTGAGAGAAGGCTAGAATTTTGTTTATGGTTGAGAGATAAACTAGATTTGGATACAGACTTTTTAAACAAAATAATTTGGAGTAGCGAGTGCAAATTTTCAACAAATGGACTGTTCAGTCGACATAACGAGCATTTCTCGTCAGATCAACAAAACTCAAGTCAAAATCAACAAATGCGCCCACAAGGTAGAAAATATTTCAATGTGTTAATAGGGATGTGGCATAATAAAATGACTGGACGTTTCTTTATTGATGGCCACCTATACGTCTCAAAATAGTACATTAAATAATAATCATGAAATGATAGCCATGAATACACGAGCATGTTGTAGGTTGCGTATACAGTGGCGTATCTACCGGTGTGCCATGTGTGCGAAGCACACAGGCCCGGGCCCGAGAGGAGCCCGTGAGCTCCATAGCGACACTGCAAAAAAAAACGTAAAAAAATCGAGATTACACCAAGAAAAAAAAAGTAGCTACAGAAACTTCAACATACTGAAACAGGAGATCCTTCCAAGACCCAAAATAGGAATTCTAGGCTTCAAAAATTTTTCGCATTTAAAAACTTTTCGGATGGAAAATGCGTCCCTGATTCAATTTTGACGCGTTGCTATGGCAAAAGTGACAGAATCTTAGACAGAAGTGTCGTAACAATATGGCGGAAGTGGGATACGCTTTTTTCTCCTTATGTCGCCTCCTTATTATTCTACCTCAATGATTTTTCCTTAATTTTGCCTAAATAATTCAATTTTCTTTAAATTTTTCCTGGAGTGATTTTTCACTGGAAAATTTCGAAATTTCCCTATAATGAGCTCCTCACTTTTCTCTTTATCCTGGAAAATTTTCAAAATTTTCCCTTTAGCAGTTTTCCAAAAAAAAATTTAAATGTGAAAGGATGAATTTTGCTTAGAAAAGTCAATTTTTCAGAACTTTCCTATCCACTTTTCTTACAGTGATTTTTCACTAGAAAATTTTGAAAATTTCCTATAATGAACTCCTCATTTTCTTCTTTTTTCTGGAAAAATTTCACAAGTTTTGCTTTATTAGTTTTCCAGAAATAAATTAAAATGTGAGAGGATGAGTTTTTCTTAATTTTACTTGAAAAAATCATTTTTTCAGAATTTTTCCTGGAGCGATTTTCCATTGGAAAATTTTGAAATTTTCTTATAATGAGCTCCTGACTTTCCTCTTTTTCCTCTTTTGCCAATTTTCCAGGAAACAATTGAAATGTGAGAGGATGAATTTTCCTTAATTTTACTTGAAAAAGTCATTTTCCAGAATTTTCCCTAGAGTGATTTCTCACTGAAAAATTTCGAAATTTTCCTATAATGAGCTCCTCACTTTCCTCTTTTTCTTGGAAAATTTCCAAAATTTTCCCTCTGCCAGTTTTCCAGAAAAAAATTAAAATGTAAGAAGTGAATATTCCTTAATTTTGCTTAAATAAGTCAATTTTCCAGAATTTTTTATAGAGTGATTTTTCATTGTAAAATTTTAAAATTTTTGCAATAATTCCTGTAATTTTCATAGTTTTTCGTAATGTCCATAATTCTCGTAATTTTTCGTTATTCACGTAATTTTTCATAATTTCCATTTTTCGTAAATTCTGTAATTTTCTGTCATATTGAGAAAATTTCCGTAATTTACAAATAATTCCTGTAATTTTGAATAACTTTGAGTAATTCCTACATTTTTGGATAATTCCTGTAATTCCTCTATTTTTTTGTAATTTCAGAATATTTTTTGAAATTTTGAATTATGTATATAATTCCTATAGTTTTGAATTGATAATTTGAAAAATATAAGAATTGCAAAAATTTCGGAAAATTTTACGAAAATTACAAAAATTGAAATTAGCAGAAATTACAAAAATTTCAAAACTACAAAAAGTTACTAGATTTTTAAAAAATTATGAGAATTATAAAAATTAACAAAATTAAAAAATTACGAAAATAATTTATTAAAGAATTACAAAAATTGAACAATATTAGAAACTTCGAAAAAATCAAAAAATAACTACGGAAATCACAAAAATTAGGAAAATTATAAAAGTTCCATTAAAAAATTACGGAAAATACAGGAATACGGAAAATATAGAATTAATAAAAATAAATTAAAAAATTATAGAAATTTCAAAAATTACAGGGTTCGCG